GGGGGGGGGAATGTACAGATCTGTCCTCGCAGAGGAGGGAGAGCTTGTACCTTGAGTTGTGTTTAATGTGTTTAATATCATTCTGTTGTGTTATATGTTTTAAAAAGTGAAATTCAATAAAAATATATATTTTTAAAACTTGGTCTTAAAGCTGCCACTGGACTCTTTTGAGTGACATCACCAGAAGTGTGTCAGAAGGCAACGCCCACCGCTCAGGCTCCACTGGACTGTTTCGGATTGCTAGCTATTGGGGGGGCATGCAGATTTGTCCTCACAGAGGAGAGAGAGCTTGTACCTGAATAAAACTTGATCTTAAAGGTGCCACTGGACTGTTTTGGACCGTGGGGCCAGGGGGGGGCTCTGCAACTTACCTGGCTGCTTCTTGATCTGACTAAGGGCTGCTGGGAGCAGGGGGTGGGGCTTGTTGCATGTGCCCGCCCCCTGGGCTCTTTACTGCAGGACATGGCCCCTGGGGATGGATGGATGGATGGATAGAAAGAGAGAGAGATGATTGATAGATGGATGATAGATAGATGATAGATAAGAGACAGACAGACAGACAGACAGACAGACAGATAGACATTTAACCCAGTAGAGCTTTTCTCCCATCTGTGTTTTCTTTTCTTTACTTTTTCTTCAACCGAATCCACTGCTCTTACTGTGCCAGGCCTTCTGAAGCCTGCTCTGTCCTTGCTCAGCCATTTGGAGTTTTCTTTCTGCTTTGTCTCATTTACAAACTCCTTCATGTCTGCTTTCTTGGGAGCATCCCCCCCCCAAAAAAATATGTAGATTCCCTACCCTCGGGTGACCTCATTCCACCACTTTCTTGACTGGCACCAGCCAGTTGTGCCGACTGATGTCAAAACACGGGGAGGAGCAAAAAGCAAGGGATATACATGTATTTCTTTTTTACGTGATTTACAGTCCCCCTTTCTCACTTGGACTCCAGGTGGGTGACACCGAGTGAGTCAGTGCAATCGAACAAGGTGGGACATTCTATACAGAATGAAGGAGGATTTGGGTTGTAGAACCAACCAGAGATCTAAAGAACACAACTGAAGGAAAGCATTAAGTGTTAACATGACACATGGGGGGGGAGAACACAATGAGGTCTAGCACCAGAGATGGACGGGAGAATTTAACCTCATGAACACTCAGCCTTTTAGCAGATTCATTTATAGTTTACATAAAGGAAGAAGACAAAAGGAGAGAGAGAGAGCCAGCTTAAAATTTGCCTGTGGGTCTCTGACCCTAGTCTTCATGCCCCCCTCCCTCCCTCCCCCCTCTCTCTATCTTTTGCTCTCTCTGTGTGTGTCTTTTTGCTCTTTCTCTCTCTCTCTTTCTGTCTCTCTCTCTTCCTTTCTTGCTCTGTCTCTCTTTCTTGCTGTTGGGATTCTTTTGGTTTAAAGTTTGTTAGCAGAGTATTAAAGAGGCAGAGTCCATGGTGTGTTTAAAAGAATATAAGTTTACTATAACCTAGCATGGGAAGGGTACACGGGATGTAAAATAACAAAGAGCTAATATTCCTACATCCTTACAGCTAAACTGAAAAATGGCAGAAGAAGCAGCTTCTTCTTCTTGCTCAGAACAAAGAAACACAAGACGGGAAGAGAAGCCATAAAATGCTAATACTTGGCACTTTGGTCTCCAATCAGAACAGCAAACTAGCTCTGTAGTTCCCGGGCTTTCTAACTGTCTAAAACAGATTGGTTACAAACAAACATGTGACTTTACAAACATCATTAACCCAGTAAATACTGAAGTGCTCTAACTTGTAACACCCAACACTTGCTCTCTCTCTCTCTCTCTCTCTCTCTCTCTCTCTCTCTCTCTCTCTCTCTCTCTCTCTCTTGCTCGTGTGCTGGCTCTCTCTCTCTC